AAAACAAAACGTCTGAACTTGGTAACATGCATGGGCCACAAACTGTTGATACAGAGTTTCCTATTGGACAGTTTAATCATTCTAATACAACTGTAGTGAGCTAGAAAACATAACGTCTGAACTTGGTAACATGCATGGGCCACAAACTGTTGATACAGAGTTTCCTATTGGACAGTTTAAACATTCTAATACAACTGTAGTGAGCTTGAAAACAAAACGTCTGAACTTGGTAACATGCATGGGCCACAAACTGTTGATACAGAGTTTCCTATTGGACAGTTTAAACATTCTAATACAAGTAAAATTACCTTTGATCATATTGGATCTTTATGATATTGAAATTAGTCTAATGATCGTTATCACTTAAAGCTCACTACAGTTGTATTAGAATGATTAAACTGTCCAATAGGAAACTCTGTATCAACAGTTTGTGGCCCATGCATCGTTAGTAACTGAAAATTTCCAAGATATATTGTTGGACTTGATTAATTATTTTGAGGATATTTCAGTTTTTGGGAGCTCCATTTAAATCCAATACAGTTTTTCCTTTCTTGAATGGTTAACAAAGCTTTTAAAATAGCTACTTTGTAATATAGAAAATGTTATACGTTAAAAAAAATCAAATTTTCTATAATTACTATACAACTGTATGTATGCCTGCTCTATTCATGTAACACTTTCATTACTTCCAGAAAGCACTTTAAAATCTAAGTTTAAATTTTAAAAATAAAGCATTTAACGTATGCTTGTGTAAAAAAAAAGTTTGTATAAAATTATTTACAACATTCAACTAGTGATAAACCTCACTACACCTCAAAGGTGTAACAATGATAAACAAATCGAAATATATATCACTGTGTTACGTAATACTCTTTAATTTCAGAAGAAATATATTCATTTTTGGTTTAAAGGACTTATGCTCACACTCTTCACAATATGTAGTGGTGCAGAAAAATGGATGTTTCCAGCTTTTCATAAAAAACCATAATAAACAAACGGCTGTTTCCTGCTTTTCATAAAAAAAAACATAATAAACAAACTTTGCAATGAGATAGTGTTAATGTAAAGGTATTTTAACTGTTAGATGGACGAATCAACCACATAATCCAATTAGCGTTTTGTTGTGGTTGCACGCCAGGTGTAGAAAATCAAGCTATTAAAAAGTTTTAAAAAAGAAAATAAATATTAGGTTAACGCAATGTTTTGGGACAACATAGGACCTGTTCTCGGCTGGTCAATCCTCTAAACTAAATTAAAATAATTAACAAAACAAATCTCAAAGCCAGACATTTTGAAAAGATATGTCAAATATCCTAAATATTATTTCCTTCCACTTTTTGTTATCACTTAATATAATAAACATTTAATTCTCTTGATAAACTGGCATTATTGTTTGCTTACCAATGCTCATATGAAAGAAACTGGTTAAAGCTTACTCATACGTTATTTTGACATAGGAAAAACTAAAGATGACCGATGTAGATACCATATTAAGACTTGTTGTGTTAATGTTATTTTCCACATAAAACAAAATATCACAAAGTAGACTCCACTTCTGTGTTCAGCAGGTCTTCAGTCCTAACTCCATCATTGTTATCACTGTTATTAGGGCTGGAATAGCTTGCTGCCTCCCGAAGTCTCATCAACATGTTGAGCTAAGCAGGCGAAAACATAACTCATGATCTTATGTTTTATCAGTAGACTTTGTAACATAAAGTGTAACATTAACAACAATTATAAAACATTTTCCAAGTACAATCATTACATTTATAATTATTATTATATGTGTAAATGAAATATGACAAATCCAGTATCTTATATATGTAAGTAAACTAAAATGTTCATTAATACAGTATTCTTCTTAAATTAAAAAATAATATTTTGGTAAAGTTTTCCACTTTTTGTTTTATTAGAGTTTTGTACAACATCATGGTGAAAGCTGAGGATAACATTCCAATAGTTTTTAAAACACAATGAACCAGTTTTATTTTATTAGGATTTTGTACAACACCATGGTGGAAAGCTGAGGATAACATTCCAATAGTTTTTAAAACACAATGAACCAGTTTTATTTTAATAGAGATTTTGTACAACACCTTGGTGGAAAGCTGAGGATAACATTCCAATGGTTTTTAAAACACAATGAACCAGTTTTATTTTATTAGAGTTTTGTACAACACCATGGTGGAAAGCTGAGGATAACATTCCAGTGGTTTTTTTAAAACAACGAACCAGCTTACATCAAACTCGATTCCAGTTTATGATAATAAAAAAAAGCTTACTATCTCTTTAAATATCTAATAAGTACCTTCAAATCAAAGATTATTCACACTGCTATATATGTTTAACATAATTCTGAGATTATAGCAGATAATTACAAAAGAGTTTAATATGATAATTTCACGAATAAATTTAGACACTGTTAGCTGTTAATTACCATGATTATAACAGAATGTAATTTCATGGAACTTCAAGTCTCGAAGTTCTAACGCCACGTACGAGAACTTACCAAAGGATCTGCTTCCAAGTCGCTGTGTGATGGAGTAGTCATTTTTGTTTCTACACTGGGAACAGGATGACCTTCGTAACCAACATCTTCAGGACGAAGATGCAGTAACTGGGGCCAGTCAGGCTCACCTACCGATGGCCAGGGGTACGATTCTTGGACCCATTCAGTCGGATCTTCCCACGGGGCTCTACGACCATAAAGCTAAACACACAAAATTAGGGATTATGAAACACTTTCGATGACTTTACAGTGTACATTAGCAAGATAAGTAGATTTGGAATTCAAATGCTTAGTCCACTTCGGTAGGAGGATATAAAGAGTATAAAACTAGTACAGTACCTGCAATCCTTCTCGTACAGCTTCCATGATATACGGGACAATACTGTAATTCCACAAGTCTGTAAACCATACTTGAGAGCTAGAGACATCTATTGGACACGAGAGAAACAATCTTGGACCTGAAGAAAAAAATAATACTAACTTTCAAACAGAAATGAGTTAAAAATACAACTGAACAAAGATACCGGTGCATTTCATACAACATCAAATTATTTTTAATTTGACCTATGAATTAAGACAAAGCATGCTACATCAACTTTTTTTTATTTGATTTGAAAGGATAAGTACATCCAGATTTGTTAATCATCTAGAATTTTAAACTAAAAATTTGAAAAACATCACCAATGCTAGAGATATACGAGAAACATGAAATCAATGTGAATTACACAGATAGAGAACATAGCTCAATTCATAGCTATTGTGTTTGTTCAAGTTATCTACTTCAGTTAATTTTTTTGAGAAATGGTATATTTAACACGAACATTTGTGGATTATAATGTTTGTTTTCCAGAGGTTATAGAAAGTTATTGTAAAATTTAAGATTTTGCTTTCCAAATGGTTGACAGACAAGAGGTTAGCATAAACTTTTAAATGCCTATTTATGCAATATTGTATATAACAAAAATAAAGAAGAAAAAAATTAGCAAACAGGAATGATGTAAACACTAACAGACAATCATTGGATGACAAAAAATAGAACACTGAACCTGTAAAGAAATGTAGATACGGAGGAAACGAGAGCGGCACTCAGTAGAGCACCTACTTCAACCATGCAGCGTTGATTATATTCAGCTCAAAAAAATGTGTCCGTATGTCCATTGTTATCAATGGACACTGACTATTTTTGGTAGGACAGCGAGGAATAATATTCTACATATGTCCACCAAGTTTCATAAAAATTCTATCATTTTTGTCTGAGCTACAGAGGAAAAATAGTGTGAAAAATCGGTCCCCATGTTAACAGATAGGGTTATTTCGATTTTCGTGAACTTGTTGTAACCTTGACCTTCCAAAAATTAAACACTTTTAATTTGGATCATAGTACAAGTATACACCAACTTTTGTCCAAATCCATTCAGCCGTTTTCGAGAAATCCTGCTGACAAATACACACACAGGGGTGAAAACATAACCTCCGTCCATCTTTGATGGCGAGGTAATAATGGGTAGTTATCACATGATAGCAAAGATACCCAGTAAATACCAGGCATAGAAGTAATGCTATAAATGGGGGCATGAGATTTCCCCTTTTATTAATTTGGGTGGAAGCATACAAAGTGTTTGATGATGAAAAGGTATGGCATTGAATGTCATCTTCGTTTGGTGTCAAATAATTGTTGGAGACGGCTTGAATGGGTAATGAAGAAAAACTTTAATATAAGTTTAACGGCAAATGTACAACGTTTCGACAAGGTTTTGTCATCAGTTGAATTATTCTACTCACCTCCTTTCTCTGTTGAGGCTTCAAATGTAGCAATAATACAGTAAGATTTAAATGGCTAACAAACTTGGATCATTCTTTCTATTGCTTTATGCATTTAAACTCAATGTATTGGCTACACGAGTTCCATGCCAGAGTTAATCAAATGTGGTTTGACCAGTTCCTCACAACATGTGATGCTGGACAGACAGATGATCAACTCTGTTTTATATATATATAAATTGTAGTTGAAGAAGGAACTCCCACCTTCCAAAGACTGGTGGTTACTATTAGAACTATCCTTACCAATGGTAACATCAGAGGAACTATGAGTTTCTAGAAAAGTATTCAGATGAATCCACACTTCTGGAATCCAGTCAATGATTTTGACAAGATCGGGGTTTCGTATTCCACTAGTCACTTCTGTTTCTACTAACTTCCTGCGGAGAAATCTTCCCAGAAATCCCTTGACTGGTTCCATATGGTTTGCACACAGGACCCACCTAACAGAGGATAAAAAAATCATGTGACTCAATACAAGTGTATTATTCAGTTAAAAATTTATTTTATTATAGCCAAATTAGTTTATCTATACAAGTATAATAGTACTGTCTGTTGTATGCCATGTAACTACTTTACAGGATGTAAATGGGTCTTCACAAAAATTGGTATGGAGGTTCATTAGGTCTATGGAGAGATACATATAAATTTGCAGTTTCACACATTTTATGTTTTGTAGCTTTTATGGCCGTTTTTTTTGTTTTTTACAATTACATATAAGGGAAGCAACTTTTCATGTCCTAAGATAATCTTTCATTGATCACGAATTTACATAACTTCCGTCCAGGTGACGAGTACTCCATCTAGTTGTATGTATATATATATATTACAATAATATATCTATAGTTATGCGAATATCTATTTTCACTTAAGTAACTAATCATTACATAGCTTCAAGAACCAATAAGAAAACAGCAGCTAACAATATGCTGCATCTAAACCAGGTTTTAATTATATATACTTTTCATCCTAAACTTTTCTCTAGAATGCTGTGTTTATTTGCTTATTTGTTTTCAGTGTAAAGCTGCATAATGGGCTATCTAAGCCGTGCCTACCACAGGGATGCGACCCTCAACTGTAGCGTTACAAGACCTCCAGCTTGCTGCGGGGCTACTATGTTCTAACGCATCCCAAGCCATATTCAAATGCAATTTGGCCCCTGCTAGTGAAAAAAATATCAAATCAAAATTCAAGATTTTCAACTGAAGAAGATCAGACACAAAAGAACTATATAAACAACTGTAGCGTAACAAGACCTCCAACTTGCTGCAGGGCTACTATGTTCTAACGCATCCCAAGCCATATTCAAATGCAATTGGGCCCCTGCTAGTGAAAAAAAAATATCAAATCAAAATTCAAGATTTTCAGCTGAAGAAGATCAGACACGAAAGAACTATATAAACATAAAAAAACTAGTGGTCTCACCTGAAATTGTGGTGTAACTGGAGGTTGGTGGTTGAGCAGGTGGTTTGATTCATCGTCCCAATGATGTATGGACTGAAACAAATTATGTTTTATTACCTACCACAGTAAACTGAACACAGCTGTTATTAGAAAGTCTGGTTGTTACGGTTGCTGGTTGATCGTTTTATAGTAGAAACGTGTACAGTTTTCAATAAAATGTTGCATTTTTTTAGTTGAAACATCAAACTTAATTTTACTTATAGTTTTTTAACAGTATGTAAAACAAAATACAGAAAATACAACTTAATAACTTAACACAGCTTAATTTGAATTCAGATTAAATTAAAATTAATTTGTATTTTTCCATTTTTGATTTCATGGTTCTTGTAACTAATAAGCAGGCTTTATCATGTTTTTAAGATGGAGCTGTAACCAATAAATACTCTTTCTTGTGTTTTGGAGATATATATATATAATTCAAATACGTATCCTTATTATTATAAATGTGGCCATGAAAGTTGCATCAACTTCACAGAGTAAATGTTCTAGTAAACAGAAATTTGATTTTGTTAGTGATCACAAAACAAGAAGATGGATAAACGTAAGTCTTTCCAGTAAGCTCACCTTCTTTTTATAACTTTCAAAAGTTCTGAGGTTAGGCTGATTAAAATAAGCCGGCATTTAAACTTCCTTAGTTTTATTAAATAATGAAGACGGAAGGTGAAATTTATTTTCATAATGTCTTTTCAGATCTCCAGCTGCAATCATGAATGGGGTTAAAAAATGTGTCTTTTAACTGGGAAGACAGTTTTAAATAGGGTAGGTGGAGATGATCGACTGCAAGGGGTGAAGAAAAACAGAAGTTTCTGACTGCCCTGGGTTATATTTCATTCCCCGAATACACTATTAACCGAAATACCTACCACGCCTATCGAATCGATTCCAACATGCTTTCCTAAGATAAAAATCCATACCTGTTCTGATACTTGACACAGAGGAAACCATTAAAAACTTCACCAAGAGAGCCAACATGATGGAGATTGTCCAGGATAATCACGGTTGGAAGGTCTGAACTCTTGCTGTAAAGAATATAGAACTTTTAAAAACTAAATCTGTAGAGTTTGTAGTGTTATACTAAATAAAGAGAAGTAATCATTCCTGGAGCTAGTACTGTTCTTGATTTCCATATATCAGTGAACATAAAAAAAAAGAACACTAATTATTTCGTCAAGCAGTTGGAAACTTTAGTTTATCATCTTAATAAGATCCGTATCCCACAGAAACAGATTTCTGGATCGATACGGTTTCATCAGCACTTCAAATATGGAACTTCTGAAGTTGATAAAATGAATTTACAAAAAAAACCAATGTCATTATATTTGAAAATATAAAAAAATGGTTAAAATTCCTGTGAAACAACCTCCCCCAGGATAAGAAAGAAGAGCGTGTTCTTGATTAATGAGAGTAAACACGTTTGAAAAATACGTAAAAGAAATCTTGTGATATATCACCTAGTACCCATTTCAGTAATAATTCAGCAAGCTGTACACTGTCCTAAAACTTGTTTCATCCTCACCTGCTCTCACACTGTTCTGCTATGTTAAATAAATACTGTCGGAGTTCTTTGGCTGACTTGTGGTCCACGTTAAAAGTTGCTACAGCACCTGGACTCAACTCCTTACCACTCCTACAAAACATTAAACACATTTTAACAACCCGCAGACTGAGAAAAATCAGTTAACTCTATGTTGAAACTTAAAATTATTCATTTTAAACTTATAGAGATAA